CAAACGTCTCTGAGGAGCAGCCAACCCACCATGCCAGCAGCCTGCCACTGTGTGTCATGGCCTCCAAGGAATATCTAAGTTTCAGAGCAGGTCGAAGGCTTTCCAGGCTGAAATACCCATGCAGACATTGGCTGGTAGGAGGAAGGAGTTGTGAGGATGGGGAACTGAAGTGCAAAGATTTATGGCTCCATCCAAAAAGAAATGATCTAGATTTATTTTGAAATTGAAGGGGATGCCTATCCATGACTGGAAATAAAAGGGAACTAGAATTCAGTTCCTCTAACAAAGCTCCATCCCAAGCTGCAGGAACCATGAGGTGCCAAAGATGCTGCCAGTACTGAGGCACAGGGGAGGAGCCACACTTGGAACCATTAAGATTGGAAAAGACCACCAAGATCATCTAGTCCAATCATCCATCTACCACCAATATTGCCCACAAAACCACGTCCCAAAAGCTTGGGCTGCTCTGAGCTGTGTCAGCCCCAAATGGGGCTGTTTGGGTTAAAAACCAATTTTCTGACTTCTGGCAGATTCCCAGCTGGGGAGCTTAAAGGTAACAAAAATAAAGCAAAAGCCACCTAAACATTTACACTTGGCAGCAGCTGAGTGAGAAGCTTGAATCAGGATTTTTTCAGCTCACCTCCATCTCTGTCTCTAATTGCACGTAGCCCTTAACAGCTTCCCCAGCATCCCAGAGGGGCTGAGCCCAAATCAGGCCCTGCTTGGGATGTGAAGCAGCCACTCGATGACCTCGAAGCATCCCTCTGCCCCAGGGAGGAACATCTGCACTCCACAGACCCATCCAAATAACATTCTGATGCTTCACCAAGCCTCGTTTCAAGCATTTCTTCATTCTTCATCTGTGTGCGGTTTAATTTTAGCCCTATTCTTGTCCTGGCCATTGTGGACATGGGGAACATATTGTTCCATCCTGACTGATACAAAGCAAAAATACAAAAAGACGAGGAGGTAGCCGACTGATTCTGTGAGGCTGTGAATCATAGAACCATGGAATATCCCAAGTTGGAATGGACCCATGACAGCATTTTATAGTGAGGTCAAAAAAAGGTAGATTGACCATGTAGCCAAATCCTGAGATCTTCCTGAATCAGTCCAGGGAGAATATCTTCACTCGTGTGAAGTATTGGTGAGGACACATTGAGAGCTACTTCTCATCAGCACGCCCTTTCCCAGCTGATTTAATTAGGCAAAGCCAAGAGAAGGTCTGCCAGCTCTCACAGATTATGCCCTAAAAGAAAACATAGTTGGCAAAGCGCTGAGAAATGCTATGAGCAGCTCACACAGTCACTGCTTTCCCTCCATGCTTCCAGGATTTGGAACAGCTCTGCCTTCCACTTGTAAAGGAAGGGAGAGAGAGACTTTGATTTCCTCTCCGTAGAGGTCAACCCAAATCCATATTGTGCTTCGCAGTCATAGATGCAGCCTAAAAGCTCAACTCCATCACTTCAGGAGAAGGCCTCATGCATGGATCTGCCTTAAAAATGACCCCAAACAGAGCACCACAGCATGTACAAAAAATTAACAGCACTGATTGCTATTGACTTCTAGTGGGATGGGGTATCTCATCGCTCATTTGACCTCTAAATTAGACTTTTAAGGGCATAAACAGCCTCTTTTCAGCAGTTTCCTCTCTAAAAGAGTTCAGTATCTAAAGGGAGTCTATAAACAGGAGGGGAGTCAACTCTTTGGAAGAGTCGATAATAGTGGGAGAAGGGGAAATGGTTTTAAGTTGAACAAGGGAAGATTTCAATTGGATATCAGGGGAAAACTCTTTACTATGAGAGTGATGAGGAGCTGGAACAGGCTGCCCAGAGAGGCTGTGGATGCCCTGTCCATCCCTGGAGGTGTTCAAGGCCAGATTGGATGGGGCCCTGGGCAGCCTGGTCTAGTATTAAATGGAGTTTGGTGGCCTTGCATGCAGCAGGGTGGTTGGAGCTTTGTGATCCTTGAGTTCCCTTCCAACCCAATCCTTTCTATGAAAGTGCTTTGTTGGGAATGACAGAAACATCACGCTCATTGCTCCCTGACTCAGAGAGGGTTTACATCACACATCCTCAATGGAGCATCATATGATGCCATACCATCCAGATTTCTCTTAATACCAAAAAAAAAAAAAAAAAAGCCATCACAGACTTTGGGCCCATGTGCACTACAGTTTTGGAACACGCTTACATCACAACAAACCAATCACAGGCTTGTTTATGAATAACTAACCTCCAGAAAAGTTCATTTTCAATGCTGCAGTCCAACATCTGCTCTTGGCCAGGGCATGGGGCTTGATAAATAACATCAGTTACATAACACAAATGGAAATTGCTTGGTTACAAATCCAAAGCCTCTGATGCACGTAGTTCCTGAAACATTCAAAATAAAGCATTTCGCGTGTCACAGTTCACCCACTGCTGCATTATCTCATTAATTATCTCCTCCAAACAGCACGGCAAAACAAATCCTGCTGAAAATCCACAGATTTAGGGCACTTACAAGGGTTAGATGGCATGGCCCCAAACCTGAGCTCCTGTATAAATAGACAAATGGCATTCCTCATCTTTTTTTGGTCACGTTGAACTGGAGAATGCATCCTGAACCAGAAAGAGCAGCACCCTGACCCATTCCCATGCCCAGTCTACATTTCTTTTTTGTGTCATTCACCGAGCAAAGGGAAGAGATCCCTGTCTGCTCCACAGCCAAATGCTATTTCATGTGATCGACACCAAAAATAAAGATACCACTTCACCAGGCTCCGGAGCCTCCATCTCCTAGCAACATTGCCCCTTCCCAGCATCGCTCCTGCTGGCGATCACAGCTCCAGGAGCATGGATGAGATGGGTAGAAACACAGACATATGTGCTCACAGAAATGTATTTAACATCAGAGGAAAATGAAGGAGAAGCTCCCACCTGGGGCACAGGGCTCCGTTCCTGCTGCACGCTGGGCTCTTGGCTCACCCACCTGGTGCCACGTCTGCACTGAGCAATGGGATCCTGGAAATGTTAAGCCCAAAAAGCACATCCTGTAGAGCACAAGCTTGATTAGTATCAACTCAATATTTCTATTTACCAATGTCTGTGTGTCCAATAGGGCTAAACGCTCACAGTGCATCAGTCTGCTCTTGAGATTTAGTCACCAACATTTAGGAAACAAACAAGAAGGCAAAGCAGCTCATCACCATCCAGCAGCTCCCGTTCGACATGTGAGCTCAACCACCAGAACAACACCATCCCTGCTCTCACCTATTTGTTGTGGTGCCTCATTCAGGCTGTCAGGGCTTGCCAAGACTGGAAGCAGAGATCAAACAAACCCCACAAGCTCCTGTGGGGCTCCTGCTGCAAAGAGCAGAGAGAGCCGCTGAGATTTTGCTCAGCAGAGGTTTGCATGGATGGACATGCCTGCAGTTGCCTGCAGACCCTTCTGGGTTTTCATCAGCTTTCCAGGAGATAGTGCACTTTAGATAAGGCAGTCACATTGTTATTTGTAACTCCCCTTATGCCTTGATGCACATCTCTTGCTCTGATGGAGCTGATACGGTTTCATTGCACTACGCGTGGTTTTATATCACAGCAACTTTCTTGTTTCTACCCTGAGATTGCTATTTTTATTTATATTAATGGGTTTGTTGAATTAAATTGTCTTTTTTATTATTTATGGCAGTACAGTTGCACAGGATGGTCATTATTTTATCACACAGCTATTGTTTAAACACATATTCCCATTCCAGTTTCTCAAACAGCTCTATTATTTTAGAGTGTGGATTGCCTTTCCTTTGGGGTTACAGCTGTCTTAACAAGCAAAAGGGGAAATTTTCATTACAGGAGAGAGCTGGAACTGTTGAATGGGTGTTTCCTTCAGGACAGGTTTTCTTTCTTTCTTTTTTTTTTTTTTTTTTCCCCCTCATTTCTAATGAGACAGAAACTACAGCAAGAAGAATCAGCCCACTTAACAAAGCTGTGTTATTATCTAATTTACAACATTACAGCAGCAGACTGTGGGCTGTCCCATGGCTGGAATGCAAAGGAATGGATAATTCCATCATTAGGATGAGCTGTTAGCCCATGAGAAGCAGCAGCTGACAGCACTGCCAGGGTGTGGAGATGGTTTCAGCTGGCTGCACTACTGATGTATTCATGTTTTCTTCCCTGTGAATCTGTTTTGCTCCTTTGTACTATCACAGCTACAAACCCATGGGGCCTCTGTTGCTGCTCTGCCAAGCGCAAACACTCAGCCACCACCACGTCCCTATAGCTGCAAACAGTGGGCACCACCATCACCCCAAAACAACCACACACATCTGCATACCCAGATGCACAGCATCTCCATCTCTGCAGCTCAGGGCTAAGGGCACCGAGGAGGCACCCACAGTGCCACCTCCCTTCCACCTGCTCATCTCCCAGCCCAAGCAGCATCCCTGCTGTGGGGCTGTGTCCTATCAACTGGATGCAATTGCCCTCCCAGGGGTCACCCCGTGCAAGGTGTCACCATAAACTGAGCGTAACCCCAAGCTATGCCATAAGGAAGAATCAGTCCACGGAAGGTGTGCCAACAGAACACTCCTCCCCCCCAGGGCAGACGGGTTCATCCCCAGGCAGGTGTGGCATTCCCAAATGGGTGCACCCCCAGGCAGGTATGACATCCTCTGAACAGGTGCCCCCAAGCTAGGGGTACCACCAGAGGCTGCACCCCATGGCCAGAGGCACTCCCAGCAGGCTGCCACCTCCTTCACCCCCATACAGACCCCACCCCCCAGAAGGCGGAGGCACCCCAAGGCCAGCTTCCCCACCCCAAAGCAGGGTGCACCCTAGGGGCAGCGTCCTTCCTCGGAGGCTCCACCCCGAAAGCGCGCAGTGTCGCTCGCAAGCAGGTGCCAAACCCAGGGGCCACCGTCACCCTACAGCGGGTGCTTCTCGTGGAGGTGCCCCCCTCTCCATCTCCATCCCCATCCCCACAAACTGCCCCCAGCCCCGGAGCGTGCCCTTCCCCGCCCCCGTGCACCCTGCACGGCTCGGCCCGCCGCTCCCCGCTGCGCACGCCCGATCCGAGCCGTGCCGTTCCGACCCGAGCTGTGTCGTGCTGTACCGTGCCGGCCCTGCGCATTGTGGTCCTCCGCCGGGGGGCGAAGATGGCCGAGAAGCAGCAGAAGCACGACGGGAGGGTGAAGATCGGCCACTACGTGCTGGGGGATACGCTGGGGGTCGGCACCTTCGGCAAAGTCAAGGGCTGAGTACCGAGGGCTGAGGGGAGGGAGGGGGGGGAACCCCTCCGTGCCGAGCATCATCCGCGGGGCGCGGCTGTGGGGCGGGAGGGAGGAGGTGACCCTTTCTCCCAGGGAAGGGGGGAAGGGCTGAGGGGGTCCTGGGCAGTTCCTGGAGGTGCCCCCCAGGGCAGCACCCACCGAAACTTTCCTCCCGCGGCGGCAGGAAGGTGATGCGGGGGGTGGGTGCTCGGGCCGTGGCTTTCGGTTGCCGTTTGAAGAACGCTTAGGACCTGGGGGGTGGGGGGGGTGGAGGATGAGGAGTTTCCGCTGCCGCCCCCACCCAGTGGGGGGGCTCAGCGATGGGGCCGAACGGGGATGGATGTCTCTGGTTCACGACTCTGGCACCCAAGCCAGGCACTGGCTTTGCTTTTCCTGATGCAAAGATTTCTATTCCTTATAATTCTACCGTTATGTGTGCATTTTCCCCCCGAGTCATGATATTAAAAAAAAAAAAAAAAAGCCCCAAACAACAAAACACCTCTACACAAACGTGTGGTCCGAGCAGAGTGAGGAGCTGTGATTCCCAGCAGAGAGCAGGTCTAGGTGCTGGGGGTAGAGAGGAACCTCATCCTGCTCAGCTGTATCTAAATAACCCCAAACTGACAGCGGGGCAGAGAAAACACCTTAATCACTGCAGCTAAATCCACCTGTGGCCATTAATCAGGCTCCTAAAAATATATTGCCATGTTTAATCCCAAACCATGAATTTACCAACTCAAGAATTATCAGAATAAACACTTCTAAAAAGAAAGGGCCATTCAAATCACTCCTATATACCAACAGACCTCAAAAAGTGCTCCAGAGGTGATTTTTTTTTTTTCTTGCAGACCAAATGAAGCCTATTAACAACAGCCTGATTTGCTTAAGGAACCTTCAGGAGTAGCATGAACATCTCCCCCTCCCTCCCCCCAACCCCATATATCACCCAATTGGTTAAGAGCAGACTTCCAAAGGACATATAAAATAACATAAAAGATTTCCAAACTCCATCCATTGTGGCTTAGCAGCCTTTCTAAGTGTATATTTTCCTCTGTAACACCAGTTAGAGTTTGACAGGAGAAATGCAGAATAGCACTGTTTTAAACCTAATGAGCTTTAACGTGCGCTCATCACATTTGGCAGGAAATACAGGAGAGAAGAAGAGACTTCTTTTCCTGATTGCTCTAAGCTCTGTGTCTATTATATATGATAAATTTGCATTAAGCAGGCCGGTGCCATCAGCAGTGTATTTCTTATTGCAGATACCCCATCCCTGGAGGTGGCCAAGGCCAGGTTGGATGGGGCCCTGGGCAGTCTGATCTGATAGATGGCAACCAGACTATGGCAGGGGGAGGTGGAACTAGGTGATCTTTAAGGTCCCTTCCAATCTAAGCCTTTCTATGAAGAAGCAATGAGGGAAAGGATGTCATCTCCCCTCCTGGCAGTGGGAAGGAGCAAGTGGGACACATCGCTGCTGTGTGTGCACCAGGCACATCCCACCCCACACAGAGCTCTATCCCAAGCACTGCCATTGCACGACAAGCAGTTCTTGGGTGATGTTTGTCTCCATTACTTGGGCTCAAGTAGGGGTCAGTTCCCATTTTTCTGGAAATTGCTGCTGAAAGACAAACCTCGCGCTGGGGGATGATCAACTGAAAGAGGCTGAACGGATGGAAGAAAGGGGAAAGGAAGGGTGATACAGCATCTGAGCAAGTGGCACTGGGACAGAACGAACATGTCATTGCTAAATATATGCTTTGGATTGATTTCATTTATAACTTCAGCCTAAGCTAAGGGCCAGCACAGCTGATAGGGAAGGATTTTGCTTTCCCTTTCCTAAACTTGTAATAATCCTTGCAAAGCATTTGCAAAAAGCTGAGCTGCTTGTGCACCAAACACACAGGGTAGATGTGGCACTGAGGGACACGGGCAGTGGGCATCGTGGGGATGGGTTGATGGTTGGATTTGGGGGTTTTAGATGTCTTTTTCAACCTTAATGATTCTGATTCCACGCACTTAGAAGGCGACTTCATAGGTATCTGCTGCAAAAAAGCTATCTGCCAGAGGACTGTAATGATTATCTCAGCTTATTCTAGGATAAATCTCTCATCTTTTTTCTCCTCTCTTAGAAAAATAACAAAACACAGAGGGTCTTCTGTTAGAAACTCATCCTATTGTATCTCTTCCCTTGTTTCTCCATCAGCCTCCAGTACCGGAATAATGCAGGCAGTCCCATGCACAAGCAGATGCAGTAGGAGCTAAAGATGCTCATACCATGTCTGCTTCGGTGCCAGTTTTTGGAGTTTACAGTCTCTGTTCATTACACAGTGCTTTCACCTCAGTGTCAAATCCATCCCCTCTGCCTGCCCCAATGGAGCTGAGTTTGCTGATTCTAAGCTGCGGGGAAGCTGACTGGAGTACTTGTCACAAGAAGACAAGACACATGCTCAAATCCCTTTTTCTAATACTGCCACTCAGCCCTCCCTCCTCCCCTTAGGTTTTAATCCAGGCAGCAAGTAAGAAGGAAGGAGCAGGCTTCCTCACCCATACCTGACATCACCACTGCCCAACCTGGGTACCTGGAGAGGACAGTCCCATTGGCACAGAGGAGCACATGCATCCTCTCCCTGTTCCACGTGGCAGAGATGGGTTTGCCTTGGCCAAGCCCATGCAACCTAATAGTGCTGCTTCTCCCACCAGCGTGTGCTGGGCTGGAGAATGTGAGCAAAGGGAAACGTTGTCCCCAAAGAGCCAAAGGTTTAAAGGACTCCCACCGCATATCAAATTATGTTGTCTTTTCATCCCTCTCTCAAGACACTCAAGTAGGCTTAACAAGCCAGTGGGGACTGGAACAAGAATATCTCCGTATCTAATGCTTACTGTAAGCAAAAGGTGGATTACAAAATAGTCTGTTTGGTTTTAATTATTGGTGTGTTTGAGCTAGAAAAACCTTCACAGAGTTGCATGTTGTTTGTCATGGATGGAAAGAGGATGAACTATGGGGCAGTGGGATTAAAACCAGTAATTATTCACTCCAGGCATGACCTTTGTTTTTTCTTCCAAGAGTATAGTATGAATTTTTCAGAGCTCGTGCTGTGGTAAGGGCAGGAAGAGTTGGAAAGATGGAAGGGATCAAGGTCTTCTTCCTAGTTCTGCCATAAGCCACTTTGCTGTTCCTCAGTTTCCCTGTTGCCTTAGTGCTCCAGTTCTTGAACAGGACTGAATGAATCATGTGCAACTGGCAAAATGCAGCTTATTGCACTCCCAGCCACGGAGGTCAGCCAAATCCAAAGTCTAGGAGACGTTGGCTGGAGTTGCCCAACACACCCTGTTCTGCCTTCGCCAGCCTCTGCTGTGCAAACCATGACCACCTCAGCAAAGAGAGATGAATGCTCTTCACAGGGCTACTACTGCACGACAAGATGGGGAGAATTCCTTGCAAGTGTGTGTGCTTTGGACCCATATAAAGCTTGAGTGGGCTGCTGCACCCCTGGCATCCATGCCTCACGAACTTGTCCCGCTTTCCCCTCCCTAAGGATCACCAGGGAAAATGCTTCCTTGGACTATTTTCAGTGCTCTCCTTGCACCACCCAGGAGGAATTATCTGCCTACTTCAGCCCTCTGCTAATCCCTAAATTGCATCCGAATGGCGAAGCTTAGTTTATTCTCATTTCATCTGGTAGTTTGAGTATTACGAAGGGATGAAATGGGCATGCAAAGTGGTGCTTTTATTTTCAAGAGCAGTAAAAAGTGTTTTATTTTTAGGATGCTCTTATTGAGGAAAGAATCTCTGGCAGGTCTTATCTCGTGGCTAATAATAGTGACCTCGCGTGCCCTGAGCAGTGCTGGCGTTGCCTCCTGCCTTCCCCTGCTGCCTGCTTTACATGCATTGCTTCTCATCAGCTCCTTAGAGGCTCTGAAATTACTGAGTCTAATAATCTAATAACAGAATTTGCTCATAATTGTTAACAGCTTCTGCTCTGCATTATTAGTGACGGGGCAGCATTCATAATTAGAGAGCCTAAATGCGTGCTGTGAGCAGGTTTTCTCTGCTGTCTTAGAAAGCCAGCCCTATGTTACCTTTTTTAATATCCCGTTTGGAGATCCTGAGAGGGGGCAGCTTGTGGCCAGAGCACCCTTTTAGATGTAAGCACCTGTTCAGATGTAAACTATCTGTTTATAAGCAGTTTCTGCTGTTAACTTCACTGTAAATTTTACTTCCTACACACAGAGCGTTTTCTTATACAGGCTGTTGATAGCAAATAAGTCAGGTTCTGAATTCATTTTGCATTAGCATTAAATTAGTGTGATTCCACCTGTGACAGCGGTGCTTCTCCTGGCTTGTGGTCACCTCTTGTCCCTACACGCATCAGCACCTGAGCACACCCAGTGCATGTCATAAAAACACACATCGAGGTTTGTGTCTTTTCTTAAGGCAGAATTTGCTGGAGCTGTTACACTCCAGCGTGGTGTTCCTGCAGCTTGTCATCAAAACGAGAAGCATGCTTGAGAAAGTATAAATAGAAATTCATTTTAGTAATGCAAATCCTGCAGTCCTATTCTGGGCAAGGAAAATCCCTGTATCATTTTTTTAAAGAGGTGTGATGGTCTCATTTTAAGGCAGGGATTATTGGGGATTCACTCAACCCGTGCATTATGGTGGAGGTTCTCCCCCACCATTTAAATATATTTGTCTCTGATCAACATCACCTTTTTGTGCTATAAATCCTTGCAAATTACTTTGGGGTATGGCCACCTCCACTTAACTCTGTCATATTTAAAGCATTTTTTACTAATAAGTCCCCTTTTTTCTTTTCTTTTTTATTTTTTTTTCCTACACTGCAATGAGAAAATAGTAAAGCAAAGAGAAACAAAGTTTTGGAACTAGGTGATCTTATAGGTCCCTTCCAACCCAAACCATTCTATGATTCTATGATTTAATTATTCTTTTTCCCGAATTGCCACATTGAGTATGTCCATTGGGATTCCCCTTGTATAAATGACCCCAATCTGGTTTTGAAGTCATTTATACATTGTGCACTCATTTCTGCACTTATAGTTGAGGCATTGTATGAAACGGTGCATCATTTTGCTTCCTGTAAACCTGCTGCTTTCCTGGGTGTTTGAGTCCACCTATACCGCATAGAATAGGACTCAAGAAATATAGAAAGAGTACCTAGAGGAAAGGTGAGGAAAATAAAGTCCTGATATCCAGACTATACTTAAAACACCCCAATTTCTATTGTTTATTGCCTTCTTTTGATTATAAATCATCCATCTCAGTATCTTAAATCTCCTGTACATAACTTGCTTCCCTGCGTAATGACTTTGCAATGCCCTCTTTCTATTAGTTGGCGAACACCAGTTGACGGGGCACAAAGTAGCAGTAAAAATCCTAAACAGACAGAAAATACGCAGCCTGGATGTGGTTGGGAAGATCAAACGAGAAATTCAAAACCTAAAACTCTTCCGGCATCCTCATATTATCAAACTGTAAGTACGTGTTCCGCCACACGTTCAGCTTACTCCTCTACCTGCAAAGACTTCACAGGTTGACTTGTTTTCAAGAGATGTCTTATAGTTGTACAGAACGGTAGATGTGTGGTCAGGTTTTTGCATGTTGAAGCCAAAATGCAGCTTTTTGAATGTCCTCCTGCTAGCTTGCATGGGGGCACAATCCACACACTGAGGAACCGTAGAAGGTGTTTTTCCTATTGGAGTTTGGGCCATTATACCAACTATGGGACTTGTCCTTGTGCAAAGTTTTGCTCAGGTAAACCTGCCCAAACATCCACTTTTCCATTCAGGAGTCATTATAAAGGTGCATAGAGATGATCTGTGCTTTCCTGCGTTGGGATGTTATGAGGAGTCTGTATGATTCTCCTTTTTTGGGTCAGTATCTCACGACTTGAAGTGATGGAGAATTGTGCCTGAGGAATAACAGCTTGGGCAGGCTCTTAGAGTGAAGCCTTGGCCTGAAGTCAGTAGGATTTATGTTTTCATGGCCTGATTATCCAGAGCTTAAAGGAACGTATATATTTTTATTTATTATTCAGACGTAAGTTTTCAACATTGCCACTCTGATGAACCTGAATTTAAGTTGTAAATCAGCACCTGCACTCCTGCCTCTGGGGTTCCGTCTCAATCCCTGGTTTGTGCAGCCAGTCCACATTAATGAGGCACTCGATAATATCTTTGGCATTTCTATAAAAGAAAGCTGTTGAATGGTAACTGCAAGGATAAGTTGACATTTAGGTCAGCCTTAAAACTGGCATGAGATATAGCAAATACCTGGGACTTAGAGGCAAGGGAAAACAAATTCTCCCTAAGTTAAATAACTAACCATGCAGCAACTGTTGACTTTAGAGTAACTTCAGAGTTCCGTGGATTTATTGGAGAACAGATTGGTATTATTTCATGAAAAAGGCAGCAAGAGTCCTCGGCTGCTCATCCAGCATCCTTCCAGTCTGCACACACATTCATCAAACAGACCATTAAAGCCTGGAAATTAAATTCAGTACATCAGTCTCCTGCGATAAATACTTCAGCCCTGAAATACACCGATAAAGAGGTGGAGAGGAGTCTATGGCACATGAGGCTCCTCTTTCAAACCCTTGTGGTGTCCCATCACTTTACATGTATATACAAGAAATGGTAGTGCTATTAACTTAGGTGTCTGAGTGCAAAACACTTTAGAAAAGTTAAGTTGATCCTATTGATCTTTACTGGGACTATCAGCTGTTCACTCGATCACCTCTGAAAATGAAGTCTATTTGTCAGCCGCGAAAAATAAATAACTAAAATAACAAAAGCAAACAATGCGTCTGAAATAAATCACAGGGAGCCTCAGCTGGTGCTGCTATGCATTGCTACAGCTGCTTTGACCTCAGCTCATTGCCGTCAGGTTACGCTGGATGGGAAACTGAAGTGTGTTTGTAGCACTCGGGGATCATTTAGCGGAGGTGGAGGGTGAATTTGCACATCAAGGAGGATATTCTTTTACTTTCCCTCACATTTATCATTCGAGAATATAGAGGAGCTTAATGTTTGAAGAATGATGTTAATCTTTTGGGGTGCTCGTCTTTGTTTCTATGCCTTTCCAAGGTTAGCTCCGCCTAGCGTCTAGATTTCCTTTTCTATATCTTCAATACGAAAGAAACCAAATATACTCCGTTCCCACTCCCATTTTAATGAAGTTTTGACTTCTGAAGACGTTGTTGCACATCTTAGCCCAAATGGAAACTTGAATGTCAGGACAGTCCTAAACGCAATAGGGTTATCTGGCAGAGATTCAGAGGATTATTGAAAAGCCTGAAGCAAAAGGCTGAATCTGTGAAAGAGATCCTTTCATAGACATGTGAAAGATTATCCTGACGTGCCCCTTGAAATAAGAGATGGCTTTTCAGAAATGGAAAATGATTATAAACACAAGATCCAAGCATGTGCTCATGTTAAGAGTTGACTTGAAGCTAATAATCTGTTTCAAAGCCTTTCCCCCTTTCTTATTAATATATTTTTTCTTGGTGTTTTTGAAGGTACCAGGTCATCAGCACGCCAACGGACTTCTTCATGGTCATGGAATACGTATCCGGCGGTGAATTATTTGATTACATCTGTAAGCATGGACGTGTAAGTGCCAGTACCACGTCGGCAACAAACTCTTATGTGGGAAGAGGATGATGTTCAGAAGTAAAACGGCTGCTAAAGGGAAGATAGCTAAGGTTAAGGCCCAAAATAGAAATTGCTTCGCAGCGATCCCATTTAAAGAGTCTCGTACTCACACATAAGTTGTGTGCCTTTTTTTTTTTTTTTGCAATGTTCCATGATGTATTTTGATATGCAAACCAAAATATCCAAAGGTAATGTGTTGCTTAGTGAAGACGTTTGGAAAACCACCGTATCTTTTTATTTTTTAGCTATAGGTTGCCTATCCAACCCCCTGGTTCAGCAGCAGATTTATGTGCATGCAGGGCATTGGAGGGGGGGAGCACTCATTGTGGTCTCCATCCCAGTCATTCTCCTCCTCCAGACTCCCCTTTGGCTCCTCATTAGGCTTTTTGAAGACTTTTTAAGGATGTGGCTTATCTGAGCAGCATTTTCAAATGCCAGTATTCCTACTGAGTATAAATCATCTGAGGAGTAGGCTGAGCTCTTGAAACATGATATTATGGTTATAAAATGACTAGTGGACATTCTCGTGGGTAGGAAGAAATCAGGGGGCTAAAAAGGACATCCAGAATCGTGCTTCAGGTGAAGGATCAGCCCAGTGAATACATCTTCTCTATACTACAAAAAGTCAGTAATTGTCTTAGATTAGTGCCCTGGTTGATGGAGCTAACTCCATTTATTTTTCTACATACAGTTCTTATTTTCAGCTCATCTTGCTCATTTGGATCTTTTCAGTGACCAATTTGCATCCCATCTGAACTCCCACGTTCAGAAACTATTTTTCACACAGGGAAAAACAAAACAATCAGTCTCCTGTTCATTTTAAATGTAGTTTTTCTGTCTGTAGTATCATTGCTATATGCCACTTTTGGCTTTTTTTTTTCCCCAAAGCAACCTTCTCCATTCATCCATGAAGAACTGTTCCCCGTGCTAACCTCTGTGGTATTTTGACATGGTTAATGGGCATGGTGGTGGTGGGTTGATGGTTGGACTAGATCATCTTTGAGGTCTTTCCCAACCATAATAATTCTGTGATTCTGCATACAGTGTGCAATAGAAGTGGTCCCTCTGGGAAACCAGTGCCTGATAGGTGGCACCAGTAGGCTCTCCTTGACTGTTCAGCCAAATTTATTTTCTAATTTCACCTCATTACCATCAACTCTGGGCTATGTCGTTTGAAAACACTTACCTACAAGGGGGAAATCTATTCGACAGGGGGGAAATCTACTTTATTTGCTGCTCCTGGTTTCCAGCACCGTCACAAGCATGCTCTAATTTTATCTCCACACCGTGGAACACTTTTGGCTCCTTGCTAAGGCAAACCTCCCCTGCCCGGCCCCACATGCCTTTACAACTGTTTCCCCTTACATCTGTAGGTTGAAGAGGCGGAGGCTCGACGCCTTTTCCAGCAGATTCTCTCCGCAGTGGATTACTGTCACCGACACATGGTTGTCCACAGGGACCTGAAACCAGAGAACGTGCTGCTGGACGCACACATGAATGCGAAGATAGCCGATTTTGGTATGTGACCCCAACAGCATTCCAGAAATGCAGCCAGCTCCAAGCCGCTTGCTGGAGCGTGTCTGCGTAGCACGCCTTACAAAACCCAGAGTCTGTTTTCATAACCACTTGCAGTTTCTCTACCTGAAAAGCCCACAGTTATAAACACTGGCCTCTTAGCAAAAGCAGGGATTACTTATTGTAGGTTGCTTCTGTGCTCGCATTAATAATGGAGAAGGAAGGTCATTTGCAAATCTTCGCTGTGTTTCAGTATAATCACCTAATATAAGGCTTCAGCTAATTTATGTTTAAGACAGACTCGGCGCAGTTAGTTTCACAGTGAGTTGGCTGCATGTGTTTATTTTCATGTGTGTTCTCCTTTAGTATGGCCGTGTGCCTTTGGCCTCACTTCATTTTAGAAATGAACAGTAACAGGAGTGGCATTACAGACTGAAACCCAACGTAGAAGCTGAGTTTCCAACCCTGTTCTGTTCAGTGCTGTCTAGCAAATCCCTTTGAAGGTTTACACATTTCACAACCATTATGTTCTCTGAAGAGAATTATGTCTCTTTTCTTCCATGGTAAAGAAAGAAAGTTCTGAGGTTTGCAACTCAGAGAAGCAAAGTTAGTTTGGAGTCAATCCTACTTGTTTGGAAAGAAAATAAGAGCTATAATAGCAGAGCAGCTCAAAAGTGTTCGCTTAGATTACATCAGATTTCTCCCTGCTTTTGCACTACCTTTTCTCTCTGGCCAGATGTCAATACATAGCCAACACCTTGTTTTTAGGATTGTCCAACATGATGTCTGATGGTGAATTTCTACGCACCAGCTGCGGTTCCCCAAATTATGCAGCCCCTGAAGTCATCTCTGGAAGGTAGGACGTGCCTCTTCCAATCATGTGAGTACGTGGTCTTTAAATTTCCTCTTGAGATTGGAACCTGCTGGTAGTAAAGCAACTGAATGGTTCCAGCCGGTGTTTTGTGTTTGGGTGAGTCTACTGGAAATATCTGAAGGTCTTCTTGCTTGTTGCATTTCTCAGTGGCTGTAGCAGCAAAACATGTTTTGCTAAAGATATTTACTTTTACTTCTACTTTTACTGTGTACATTGTTAATTAAAGGGAATGAAAATTACTCTTTGGATGCAGATACCGAGGTTTCAGAAAGATAGGCTTTTCCAGACCAGCCCTTTCTCTCCTGTCCACCTATATAAAACACAGTGTGAATGAGGAAACCACTCATCAAGCAAGCAATCAGTATTCTGTTTAATCACTTCCCTACGCTGCTAGACACTTATATTGAAAATCCTTGTCTTCAGGTTCCTTAACTTTCAGGCTTATTTTCATGACAGCGGGTTCAGTGGTGGTAGCTTTGTCTTGAACTGATGAATTGAACTGACAGAACTGCAGAGCAGTGGCATCTCTCAGCTGCATCCTGCCAGGCTGCAGCAGCTGCTTGGTACGGGGTGTTCTGAACACAGGCTCTAGGGCTGAACTCATCTTGCCCCATTGATACAGTCATGTCACCTCCCATGTTTTGAATATTGAGAACCTAAATTACATTGATTTTCCTAAAAATCTCTCTCTGTAAAAGCATAATGCAGTTTACAAGTAGAGATTTTTGAATTTACAGTCCTCTGCGTGGTCCTTTGAACTGCCCATCTCCTTAGCATCCACTCCATCCTTTTGAACCATCCTTTGCATGAGTGCTAGTTTTCATAATCCAGTATGTCTTTGCCTATAAAAATCCAACGTTTTGTTTAATGTTGTGATGATGACTGTTTTATGCCTGTTTACACAGGCGCATGTGTTGGCAGAGTATCCTAGGAACTAGACCAGCATCCAAAAAGCCTGTTGTGACTACAGTTCTACATATGAAACCAAGTAAATCCTCACTGTCAAGAAGGGCACAAAGCCAGAAACTCTACAGTGATTCAAAAAAATATTATTTCCCATGTTTTATTTAATAAAGGCCAAAATCACTTTTTTTTTCAGTTCATATAGGAGACAGAGAGGAACAATCTGCCACCTCCACCAGGGTAAATGTGCTGCTGGAGGTGGATATAGCTGAGCTGCTCCCAGAGCAGATCCAGTATGTGAGACTTTGTGTTTCAGCATCATAAAAGTGCACCTCATTTGGGCTTAAAAGTCCGAGCACAGTTCAAACAATGCGTCTATCAGCCAAAAAATAGGCATCATCCTATCTGTTGAAATCAGGCATAGACCAGTGGGACTTGGAGATGATTGCATCAGCAGAATGCCCTGACTTTGCTGCTGTCACTGTTCTCAGTGGGGAAAGTCTCAAACATGAGAGCAGAAATGGTATTCTGTTACTTGGGTAGCATTCAAAGAATGACGGTGTGCCCGGCTGGTTCTTTTTGTATACCAGGTGTGTATGCAGCAGAACTTTTCAAGAGGAGCAAATGCAGGACGATTAGATTTCATGAACAGACCTCTGTATTGGTTTTTACAGTCCAAGAGTATCTCCCAGATATCTCTGAGAAATCAGCAGTTTCAGCAAAAAGCAATGAACCAACAAATCAAGCAGGCAAGCAGCAGCAAAACCCATATATTTGGGGTATCCCAACTTGGTGATGCCAGGAAGCACATTAACAGCTTGTCGGAAGGGAGCTCTTGCATACCAGCACACAAACTTCAACTGAAAATAAACACTGAAGAGATATAATATCTGCTGCTGTTTAATCTGCCTCCGAATGAATAGAAACTGCTGGCTGAGTCCCCCCAGCCTCAGGGGCAAGGAAGCAAGCAGCCTGGCAGAGCTCCTGGAAATGTAGGTTTGGGCTTTTTGGTGGGTCTGGTGGAGGTGCTCATTTTCCTGTTCCATGGATGACAAAGGAGCGTGATCAACTCAAAGCAGCTCTGCGTCATTCTCCATCACCCTCGGGTGGGTTTTTGGCTTAGGCAGCCCAAGGATGCAGAGGGGAACGGGAAGGGTTGTGACCCATTTCTCCTCCCTTGCTTCACACAGGCTGTATGCCGGCCCAGAGGTGGACATCTGGAGCTGCGGCGTCATCCTCTATGCCCTCCTCTGTGGCACTTTGCCCTTTGATGATGAGCATGTGCCCACCCTCTTCAAGAAGATCCGTGGAGGTGTGTTTTACATCCCTGAGTACCTCAACCGCTCCGTTGCCACTCTGCTCATGCACATGCTGCAGGTTGACCCTCTCAAGCGCGCAACCATCAAGGACATCAGGTCAGCCCACAGTGTGGTTTGTAGGAGCTGTCAGTTAATCCAGCTGGGTTTGGTCCTAAAGGATTTAAGGAGCATCCTTCTGTGCTGATGGTGAGGGGAGTGCTGCCAGCTGGTGGTGGGTGATGATGAACCTGGGGTTGGTGACTTCATTTCTCGGTGGCTTCACCAATACAAGTGAAAATTGGCAATAGGTAGCTTTCTGCAACTTATGTACACATAATGCTATCTTAATGCATTATAAAATAGCTTCAAGAATGTGTTAATAGTGCTTAACAAAACCAGCTCTCTCACACAATAATCCCAAGAACTCGGTATTCACCAGCCATTTTTCAGTACTTTATTTCAAGTACATCTCCCTTTGGATACCAGTTTAGAATAAAAGTGTAGTCGTTGCACTTACTGTCTGTCCAATAAAAGAGGAAGAAGAACACAAGAATTACTAGCTGAAATGTCAGACACAGTTTAAAATGTCAGCAAATGTCTTTAAATGATGCATTTCTTATGTAGTCAATGACTGTACTGCTCACGAAAGGGAACAGTTGGGCATTTAAGCAGATATTTGTTCCTTCAGATATCATGAAGTGTTCATGACTGGTAACACGGCTTTGAAAGTTTCACAAACTGAGTAATTTTTTAAATACTTTTTTTGAGAAAGTGGAGCCCCATATTGTGGAATTTATAGTAGTCGTTACTATAACGTGCTTTAGCAGGGGGTTGGACTGGATGATCTCCAGAGGTCACTTCCAACCCCTATAGTTCTGTGATTACATGTAGCTGGTGTGCTAAGCATATGCATAAACATCACAAGTACTTACAGGACATCATGGGTTGTTAATACTTTTGCAATTGATGGCCTGAATTTAACCACTCAAATAGGATCTGAATTATAAATGCCTTTTAAACTTCACGAGTCCTGAAGAGTAGGAGATTTAATTATATGTTAGAGCAACAGCATGCATGGCAAGATTACCAACTGAGAGGTGGCACCTATAACCAAGGCTTGCTCTGGCATTTACCCACTTAATTACCATTGACTTCATTGTAAAGCGGTGGGAGCTGTGGGCCTGAGTAGCTTTGAAATATAAGAAGGACATGAAGATATTAGAGAGCATCCAAAAGAGGGCTGCAAAGATGGTGAAAGGTCTGGAGGGCAAGGTGTATGAGGAGCGGCTGAGGTCCCATAGTTTGCTCAGCCTAGAGCAGAGAAGGCTGAGGGGAGGCCTTGTGGTGGCTACAGCTCCTCAAAGAATATTCTATGATCCCTCTATGAAGTGCCGTGACTGATGATGGCCCATCTCTGCCTTTCCCCAGGGAACACGAGTGGTTTAAGGAGGAGCTGCCCAGCTACCTCTTCCCAGAGGACCCTTCCTACGATGCCACCGTCATCGATGACGACGCGGTTCGGGAGGTCTGTGAGAAGTTTGAGTGCACCGAGTCAGAAGTGATGAACAGTCTGTACAGCGGTGACCCCCAGGACCAACTCGCGGTCGCCTACCACCTTGTCATCGACAACCGGAGGATCATGAACCAAGCCAGCGAGTTCTACCTAGCCTCCAGCCCCCCAACTGGCTCCTTCATGGACGACACCATGCACATCCCTCCCGGTGTGAAGCCGCACCCCGAGCGGATGCCACCCTTGATAGCAGACAGCCCCAAAGCACGCTGCCCTTTGGATGCACTCAACACCACCAAGCCCAAACCTCTGACTGTCAAAAAGGCCAAGTGGCACCTGGGGATCCGCAGCCAGAGCAAGCCCTATGACATTATGGCCGAGGTGTACCGAGCTATGAAGCAGTTGGATTTTGAGTGGAAGGTAGGAAATGTGCTTTGGGGAGGTTTTCAGTGTTGATTTTTCTTTCTCTTATGACTTGAGTTGATCGGGGAGGTCAGTCTGTATATGGTTACAGCCTCAGCTGTTTCCAAACAAATGCCCACAAGATGTTCTGTATCTGTGCCATTTATTTGTGGTGTGAATAAGCGTTTTTGTTTTGTTTTGTTTTTTGTTTTTTTTCCTGAATGCCCTAAGCTTCTGTCTGGAAAGATAATTCTGTCTTGTTTAGCTACAGGGATAAGAGGAGCTGGTCACATTTCTAATTTTAGTGGCTAATTCCCTGCGAGGTCATCTCAAGTGCTCCCAAGAAAAGCATCTCCTGTTATTTCTGCTTGGGTCATAGTAGTTGCATGTCCTGAAATGGCACAATACACGTCTCCTTGTTCCTACTTATGTGGTGGTTTCACACTGATGGGCAGCTAAGCTCTACTGTGCTGTTCTCTCAATCTCCCTCTTCAAAAGAACTAGGGAAAAAATTCAGTGAGAAAAGATCACGGACTGAGATGAGGACAGGAAGATCACTCACCAATTACCATCAGAGGTAAAACATTCTCAGCTCTTCTCTAAAACTCAGTGCAGTTATAGGCTTAGGAGCTCTCCTGGCCTTTCACAACAGCCTTGTGCAAGCATCAGGACCAAGAAAAGGAGAATTTCTGCTCAGATATTCATCACCAGAGTCAATATCCTCCTTACTCCATGTCCAGAGGGTTTTTGCTGTGTGAATGTCCTCAGCCCTTGGGAAATGCCCAAATTTTGTGCCTGTGCACCTTTAGAGTCTCACATATCCTCCTTATTTTGATAACATTGTTATGTATTTAAAGATTAGTAGCACCCAGAACCTGATTTCATGGCACCATTGAGGAGATGGACTGTCTCCAGACGCATGTGCCTACAAGAGCCAGACATTTGTTGGCTGAATGGTTTCACGGAGAGCTAACAAACCTAACGTAATTCTGGTACAGCTCTACAGACTGATTCAACCAAGTGCCTTTATGTAGGCAGTGGAGCTTATTTTATATGAGGAGGTTTCACAGCAATCTTTCCCATCCTAAGAATAACTTCAAGCGTGACTCTTAGCTCTTGCATCTGTGCCACCGTTTTATAAATATAGCACAGAGAAAGGATCTCATTGCGAATGAGATGCAGCAGATTGTGGGGTGGGAAGTGGTGAGAGAAAAGGCGTAGCACAGCTCAAGACTGACGAACGCTGTTTAGTTGTGCTGATGGGAGAGGCTATGATTCCCTACCATCCATCCAGCCTGGCTTTCCCAAGCATGGTCCTGGTATATGGGTCTGGCAGTGGATTCTGGCTCATTTGGCCATTGCTGCTGTTGAGGGAACAACGATATTGGTTTGGTGCCTGGAGGAGAAGCTGCAACAGCTTCATCTGCCATCAGGGCTGGTGAATCAGAGCCCCGACAATTGTTTTCCAAACGCAACTGTAAGAGGAAATAGTTTGCTTAATTTTCAAAGAAGTGTTCTTTCTAAAATCTGCGTCTTGCTAGTCTTTTAAAAAATTAATAAAAGGAATGTTGTTCTTCTTGCCTTGAAGAGTATTCCCTAAAGCTGGTTGCCCATTGCAGGTGGTGAACTCCTACCATCTCAGAGTGCGTCGGAAGAACCCGGTGACGGGCAATTATGTGAAAATGAGTCTGCAACTGTACCAGGTGGACAACCGCAGCTACCTCCTGGACTTCAAAAGCATTGATGGTAAGCAGGAATTGATGCACTGCGAGATGTAGAACACATTAAACAGCGAGCTTGGAAGTTTTGAGGAAAAATAATAATTCTTTCAGTTCCTGAATGCTTTTGTAGCATGTGATGCTGTTTCAAGTCAGTTATGATCATAAAATATTCCAAGTTGGAAGGAACCCACAAGGATTGCTGAGTCCAACTCCTAAATCCCTTCTGATCCATTCGTCTCCACTAACTGTTACTAGTTCCTTAGTAAAGGGATACCAAACTAATGCTGTTAAAATTATTTCTTGCTTTTCCTATTGCCTTAAAGACGAGGTGATGGAGCAGAGGTCCGGCTCATCCACCCCGCAGCGCTCGTGCTCAGCAGCTGGCTTGCACCGGCCAAGACTGAGCATTGATGCTGCAGCAGCCACTGAGTGCCAGTCACTGATGGGGTCTCTGAGCGGCTCCTTCGTGGGCAGCATCTCCTCAGTGCCCCCACGCCTGGGCAGCCACACCATGGACTTCTTCGAGATGTGTGCCAGCTTGATCATGGCTCTGGCTCGCTGAGCCGGGCACCGGACTCCCAGCACATGGCATTGCACTGTGAGGACCAGCTCCAACGTGGCCGTTCTGTTGCTCTTCTGCTTCCTTCCTTCTCCTCACCACTCCACAGCCTGCGGCGCAGAACCAGTTCCTCTGTTAAAAGATCCCAAGTGCACTCAAAGGACACAGCCCCTCAAACGAGGCATTGAGGAGATCAGGAATGACTTCTTCATTTCACTCGTTAGACCAGAGTGAAATATATATGAGCTTTTTTATCCTGAACCCAATGGGATACGTGGGCAGGGCTGTAAAGTAGCAAACATATCATTGACTTTTGGTAGAGAACTCCCTCCTGGTTGACCCTGAATTCACAGAGCCATGGGCAAGCATTTCTTTCCACAGCACACATTGGTTCAGGTTGTACCTCCCATACTGCCCCAACCAGGGGGAGGACAGGGCTGAACCTCTGGCAATGCTTTCACCCTAAAACAAGCAGCTGCTGCATGTAACATCCCACCCTCTGTTCTTTTTCCCCTACTAAAGAAGGGGTGAGGGGTGGCATGTGCAAAGCTACCATTGCAGACAAGGGGCAGGATGCTGCTGAGTCCCCCAGATCCGGCTCTGCATCACGGCTTCGGTGCACTTACCTCTCACCTTTCCCATAGGAAGATTTTGCCCATTGTCACCACCCCAAAATCTCTGCCAAAGCGGCCTGCCTTCACCTGCCAAGGATCCTGCTGTCCTGATGCAGAACAGGTTGGGACCTTGCTGCGACATGAAGAAGGCAGGGATATCACAAAGCATTTCACGGTTTCTTTGCTACTGGCTGTCCGAAGGATAGGGTTTTATATTTTAAGACAAACTATGAGGATTTTTCAGGTTAAAATTCTTATTATTCGAGGGTAAACTCTAGTGCATGTGTGACGGTTCCTTTGTTTAAAAGAATTATTACTTCTCATTGCATAGGCTTAATCTAATGGACAGCATTGGCGTCTGCTTGGCTTTGCTACAGTATTTAATTCCATTTGATTGCAAAGGAACTTAATAGTCTGATCAGTCAAGGAACAAACGCTTTATGAAAACTTTGCCAAAAAATCCTGGGAGGGTTATTTTCTTCCTTTTTTGGTTTTGCTTTAAGAAACAAAACAAAGGAGAACATTAGCAACGTTGCTGGTCCCAGGTATGCAGTCTTTCAACTTTAAAAACAACCCTGAACCCATCATTTTGATAGTTTTTATGTCCCTAGAAGTTTTTTGCTAAGGATTGTTTTTTTGTACAGTTGCACTTTAATTTATACTTTCTGAAAGTTTCTATAAGCAGCAAGGAGGAGAATGACGCATTAAACCTTTTGTACTAATTGTCTTAGGTACTGAAGACAACTACGGGATATTTTTGCCATCTACTGGCAGAGAAGTGGACATTTTCAGTGTGAAGTCCCCTTTTTTTTAAGAACACAAAATTGCCTTACTTTTGTTACAGATGACATTTCGATTCTCACTAGTGTGTATTTCCAGCTTCAGTTTTATCAGAAGCGGCACAAAGTAGAAACCTGCCAAAAAAGCATCAGTTTTGCTGTTGAGTTCTTGTATGCAGAATCCGACACAGCGGTGTTTGGATTACAAACAGCAGAACAATCTCATTTTTAAAGGAAACACTGGAAATCTTTGTATTAATCCTAGGTTTTGTAATGGGTTTTTATTATATTATCGGTATGAAATCAATACCATTGGGTGGAGGACAGCTTTGGTAGTGTGGGCATCAGGCAGTGTGCATCTCCTGTGCTCCAGTAGGAGCAAGAATGGAGAATCCAGACTCTTGCATACAAAAGAACCACTTAGAACCAAATCTGAGCAGTGTCCAGCTCCTTAGCAGCTTTCAGATCAGCGCTGAGATGTCAGCCCAGCCAGGCAAGCAGCGTGGGATGCTTTGGGTGCTGGAGATCAGCCCCTTTGGAAAGGAGCAGGAGAGGGTAGCCGAATGGCCAGGAAAATAGTCAGAAATTTAGGAGTACCCCTGCTGTGAAACATATTCGAATATAAAAGGCTGTTTAAGTCATCATCATAATTTAGCATCTTACCAAGGTGCTTGTCCTGGTAACAAGTGTGGCCCTGCTGATAATGTGTTTGTGTGGAGCATGTAAGGATGTCTTGCCTTAAAATTACCCTTGTCCTCCCCAGCAGGACTAGTGAAGTTCAACAGCAGCACATCCCTCAGGAAGGAGTATTTGCTTCCTGGAGGCAGGTGGGATTTCTGAGTGGGGGATAAAACCTTGGGGCACTTTGAGTTTTAGAATCATAGAATCACCAAGGTTGAAAAAGACCTGCGAGATCTTCTAGTCCAACCATCCATCTACCCCCTCTATTTCCTCACTAAACCTTGTCCCTCAGTACAACATCTAAACGTTTCTTGAACACAAGAAATGGGTCTTCTCAGACCCATACAAACACTAACTAATATATGGATTTGCAAAACCCATCCTGCCAAGGCAACAAGAGTGCCTCAGGATTCCAGACAAATGCCACCAGAAGCACTGCAATAAGGAGCCAAGCCATGCCAGGTGGTCACTATGTACTCCTACCCAGGACCTCCTTGGTGAACAGCTCAGATTAAGCTGTCCATTAAACAGCCTTACCCGTGCCCACTCCAAGTTTTGAGATGTTTGGAGAAGTTTCACTCTTATTTTTATTTTTATTTTTTATCTTGGGATAGGCTGTTTTCTGGTTCTCAGCTGCTACGAAGCTATCGACCTCCAATTATGCTTTTTGGAGTAAAAGTCTCATTTGTACACTGTTTCACTGTGGTCTGTTTTATTTGAGTTACTGGTACATGCAAAACCGTGCATGCCAGGAAGAGCAGGGTGTATGAGATATATTGGAACTAAACAAACTTGAATTCTTCCAAGTGCAATTCCTCACCAACCACTGACAGCTGTGCTTTGCAAGCCACAGATTCACCCCAACATTGCTTCAGCCCAACTAAGAGAGTGACAGAATGCAAAGGGTAGAGTTCAGTGTTAACCTCCAGCTTCTGGATGGGTTAATTCAGAAACAGCTTGTATTGTACTGTTGGCAAACATTTATGCACTAGAAATGTGGGGCTGTTGAGCTTCCAGGAGCTGTGCAGGCAGAGGCAGGGGGAGTTTTCTTCTTTTATAGGTCTGAAATGCATAGTCAGCACGTGCATCCTAATCATGCATCCAAGCACAGGGATGTGGGCAGGGTTGTACAAAAAAATGAAGCAACTGGTTTGTAACTGTGGTATGTGCGTTTTTTTTGTGTGATTATAATGCCAATTCATATCAGAACAGATGAAAAGTTCGAACAAAATCACTGTTCTGTCTACTCCCTTTCATTTTACTGCTCCTGTCATCTTTTGTGCATCCGTGTAGAAGGAAGAGACTCCAGCACAGGACATGAACTCGTGCCTTTCCCACACATTAGGGCTCCTGGAAGCTGCAGGTTCCCATGGTGCACGAACCCCACAGCTCACAGTCATACTGGTGAGACCTGCAGGCCGTGTGCCTAAATACTTGAAGTACCATTTGCTGTGCAAGTTTTTAGCTTCACCCTTTTATTGGTTCAGAAGAAGGGGAGAAAAAGAATCTCTCATCAATCCTCTTCCAATGAGCCATACAAATCCCTGCTCCAGCTTCTGTAGTGTTTTGACTGAAATGTTTTAGGATCCATTTTTTGTGTAGCTGTTATGGTTGCCTTTCTTTGGGTCCTACTTTGGCGTGGGCTCTCCACTTCATGCTTTCCTTTGGCTTTCTGAGCCCTTCTTGCATGAATTTCTCTTCGTCTTTTATTTACAAAATGGAAACAACCTCCTGTAATTCTGGATTTTCAGTCCATCTCTCAGACACGTGTTTAGTGGTTCACAGAATCACCAAGGTTGGACCTCCGAGATCATCCAATCGTTCACCTACCACCAATATTCCCACTAAACCATGTTTCTTAGTACAACATCTAGAATTTTCCTGAGAGAATTTCCCCTCCGGGGATGGTGACTCAACCACCTCTCTGTGCAGCCCATTCCAGCACCTGACTAGAGAAGAAATATTTCCTAATATCCAATCTGAACCTCCCCTGGCACAACTTGAGGCCATTCCCTCTCATCCTATCGTTATGCAGGTGAAGAGGTTGACCCCCACCCTGCCACAGCCTCCTTTCAGGGAGCTGTAGAGAGCTGTATTCAAAGCTTCTCTTCTCTTCCATGCCTGAAAGATGAACTGTTTTCAGAATTCGACCAAACACTGACTTTTGCAGCAGAACTGATGCTGTGTGCACACAACGCACGTATCTTTGCTAGATTTGAGAATCAGAATTAGGAGAACTGGGCAGTCCACCAGATCTCTGGCTGCAAAGCACGAATAAAGTGACAAAAGCAGTCTGTTTCCAACAGAAAGCCTTGAGATTCCTGCTGAAGCTGCCTTAATTTAAAGACAAAATCGAAGTTAATTTGTAAGACTCATCTCTACACTTTTTTGAGATATTTATCCTCATCTCACTAAGCTGTGAAGTAGGCACAGTAGACATGGTAATATATATTCTCGTTGCTGAAAGCATGTTCATGTATTTTGTATCACGTTCTATTCATGCATTTTGTACCTCAGTGCATTTGTGGTTTGTTTTTTTCAAGCTCAAAGCAAAACTGAATCCCAGGATGACTGTAGTGCCACATCCCAGCAGCCAGGGGCAGACAATCCTCACCTTCACAGGATAGGAACCAGATTGGCCCATTGCAATGTTTTGGTTGTTTGTACCACAAGGAGCATTTATGATTTTTCTTCTGTTAAGATACTGAACTGTAAAAGCTCTGAGCAGCAACAGCCCTTCAGAATATCACTGGTATGAAGCTCAGAAAAATACTGAGGTCTATGACTCCTCCATCTTTCTCAGCACTTCCTCAGCTGATAGGGAAAGTGTTGTTGATCAAGTCATTGAAATTGACACCTATGTCCAGCTATAGCCATGGTGGAAGGGCACAGAGCCTGGGTTCAGTTTTGACCTTTGTGCAAGTAACTGTGCATTAGATAATCACAAAAAAGCCTTTTACCTTCTGTTGATGGTGTGGAAAGTGGTTCTCAGTGTACTACACTGCATGTGATAGCTGTCTCTGTGGTTGACATTTGCACTTTAATAAACTCAGAGATAAAAAGAGACAAAAGTATTCAATTCTTTCAACTAATGGAGCTGGACAAAAGGACAGGAAGGAGACTTAAAATACATACAAGCGTAACAAAAGCAGCTTCTCTGAGCCAGAATACACATCCTGACCCAGGCCCAAAGGTTTTCTTCAGTTTTAGCATGCATCCAGTGGAGCTGACGGACCTGATTGACATAGCACTGACATATTTTAAAGATGCTTTGCAAAAATAATCCCTCATTACAGAAAAAAGAAGATAATTTAGGGCTTGTTCATGTACGCCTGTGATGCAAAGGGATGCAAATCCCATGAAAGCACAAAGCTGCAGCGAGCATTCCAGCATCATCCCTATCTGCACTCTTCTCTAATCACAGTTTTTTGCTACAACCAGCTTGATGAAATTCCAGTTCTCCCTCGGATTGAGCAAATTGGAAATGTTAGCACGGCGATTTTCATTTTGAGAAGGGATGTGGAGGAGCAGGGTTTACAACGCACACACGAATTACTTTAAGTTTTGATTTGTTCAGGATAGAGTAGCAAAGCTATTTAAAAAAAAAAAAAAAAAAAAAAGGAAGACTTCAATTTCCTAAACAGCATCTTGACCTAAGTATACCCAATCTGTGGTTTAATCAAGGAAATCTAATCCAAATTGCTGAATACAAAGCGTTTGGTATTGTCTTAAGTCAACCCATATCAAGTGATTTCTCTCCGTACGTGTGCTGGAATCCATCCATGAAGAAAAACAGCATGAGTGCATTGCAAGGCTTCCTTGCATCAAGCAAACTGCTGGCTGCAGCCAACACCAATGCAAACGTTTGTGCTTCACCACGAGGGAAGAGACTTGCAGCACATGCAGCATCGTTTATAGACATAGCATTGGATGGGGAGGAGGGCGAAAAGGCAATCAGGAGTTTTCCCA